ATGGGGCCACCCTGAGCATCCTTCCCAGCACACACATCCGGGGAGGTGAAGCCCTCAATCCGGGTCCCTGTGTCCACTCCCGGGGACCCCAGTCCTCCCCAAAGCCCCATCCCTCCTGCAGGGCCCTATTGCAGGAATGCTGTCCCTGCCGCCCCGCTGCTGGTCACCAACTCCAGTGCCATCACCGTCCTGTTCAACAGCACCAGCCATCGCTCAGGACGAGGCCTCCTCCTGTCCTATGCCAGCTCGCAGCACCCAGGTAGGGAGGAGGGTTGTTCCTTGAAGGTGCTGAACCCCCTTGGCTGTGTCCCTGTCTGTATCAGGGGCACAGATAGGGGTGCAGGGAGGTCTGTGCTCATCCCAGCGTGGCTCTCATTGCCCCCAGTCCCCTATAGCCCCCATTTTCCTTGCCTGAAAGCTGTGGATGTGAGAGAGGGAATGGCAGGGAACTGGGAACCCTCAGACTTGGCACCCCCAGGACAGCTGGGGCCACAATATCAAGCTCTGCTGCAGACAGCACTGTGACCAAAGAGACACTGTACCCTGTTCCTGCAGACCCAAGGGGAAAAACCCACCCCTGGAACAGGATTTGGTTGGGAAGGGGACAGAGATGGGGGTGCCCCAGGGAGAGCTGGGTGCTGTGGGGGTCCCACACAGCCCCTCACCCTGGGGCATCATGTCTTGCAGACCTGATCTCCTGCTTGGTCAGAGGTACCCACTTCTCCCAGGAGCACGTCAGGTGAGCAGCTGGCCCACCAGCAGCCTGTCTGAGCAGACCACAGCCCAGCATCACTACCTGTCTCCATCAGTCCTTTCCCCATCCCACTCATCCCGTACATTTCAGTGTGTACTGCCCTGCTGGCTGCAAGGACATCGAGGGGGACATCTGGGGCAGCACGAAGGACGGCTACCGGGATGTACGTACAGAGCCCTGCTCTCCTGGGAGGCGTCCCCTGTGGGTGCCCTGCTGGGGACTGTCCCCAACAGGTGGCTGTCTGTCACCTGTCACCTCCATCCTGCTGCCAGTAGGTGGAGGGAGGACAGGTTCACCTTGGGGGGGGGGCCTAGCTGCTCTGACCCCACGCTCCCTGCAGACCTCAGTGCTGTGCAAGGCAGCTGTGCACGCCGGGGTGGTCGCCGACGAGGCGGGTGGGCAGGTCACCCTGTCCCGTGAGAAGGGGATCACGCTCTACGAGTCGGCCTTCGCCAATGGGCTGCACTCCAAAAGGTGGGCACAGGGGTCCCAGCTGCCACCCCCTCAATGTCAGAGCCCCCCAGCTGGGTTTTGCTGGGTCTTTGCCCTACAGGACCATTCCTGACATCCCCCCCCCTTCCCTTCTCGCAGGGGCTCCCTCTCTGAGAAGCGTCTCCTATTCCACAAAGGTATTTTCCCATGCATTAAGCCATCATTTTGGCTGCACGAGGAGGCCTTGCTGCTGTCCAGGTCCCCAGCTGTCACCTCACCTTGCAGCCTGCGGCGATGCCCTGGAGGTGGCCGCCTTCAACGCCTCATCCTGGTGGCAGGAGGTGGACACGCTGGGGCAGGAGCGGAGCTGGGCAGCTGAGCGGGCAGCCCTGGGCACCCCCAGCCCCTCCTGGGCAGCCGAACCCAGCACCGACACTGCCTGGCTGGAGCTGGACCTGGGCACCCGCAGGAATGTCACAGGTCAGCTGGTGGATGGGGCTGGTTGTTGTCCCCATGCCGCCTGGATCACTGCTCAGTTGGGTTGTCTGTCACCTGTCCAAACTGCCCAAAGAGGCTGCAGATCCCCTCCCCCCCCCCACCCCCAACCTGTGACTCCCAGGAGAGTTTGGGGGCTCCTCGTGCCACCCCCTGCTCTGGTTGTACTGGTGCAAATTGGGATCCGGACAGCATTGGTCCTTCGTGGCTTTTTCCTGTCCTCATTTTCTTCCTTCCCCACTGCAGCCATTTCTGGGATGAACAAGTCAATATTATGCTCTTGCATCTGGTGCCAGCGAGCGCCTTTTGTTCAGCCAAACCCGCCGCCAACGGGGGCTTTGTGCAGAGGCCGGCAGGAAGAAAATGGGGACATTGTGAGACCGGGGGCCGGAGGAGGGAGGAATGCAGCCGGGGTTTATCGGCTCCTTGGGGCAGAGTGGGGGATGTGGGTGCCCAGGAAGGAGCTTTGAGGGGGTTGGGGTGACATAAGGGCGCATCCTGCCCAACAGGTATCATCACAAAGGGATCTGCTGAGATATATGACTTCTACGTGACGTCCTACCGGGTGTCCTCCAGCCGTGATGGGAAGAACTGGAGACCCTACAGGGGCAGCAGTGGCCGGGAGGACAAGGTGGGCACGGGGGCAGCAGGGTGGGAGCAACCCTCAGCCTGCAGCTCTGCGGCCATCCCTGCCCTCCCCAGTAGGTCTTTGAAGGAAACGTGGACAGCCTCGGGGAGGTCTCCAATGCCTTCATCCCCCCCATCACGACCCGCTACCTGCGCATCACACCCCACAGCTGGCATCAACGTGCTGCCTTGAAGGTGGCCCTGCTGGGCTGCCAGATGGCACGAGTCCGTGCAGCACGGCCCTATGGTGAGCATCCCTCGTGCCCCCGGGGACCTCCAGCTCCCAGTGCTCCCAGCACTGACAGCACCCGCTCTGCCCTGCAGTGCCCAGCGTCCCAAAGGAGGTCCCTGCCCACATCCCCATCCCCACCAGCCGCCCGCCTGGCCGCACACCCATCCCTGGCATCGCCCTGGACCCTGAGAAGGCAGGTGGGTGCCAGCACACAGGGGCTGATCCTCATCCCGTTGTTGGCTCTGGGCAGTCGTTAATTGTGCAGCTCGGCTTACCCAGGGTGGGTTCTCAGCACCCAGGGGAACCAAAGGTGTGGAGGTTTCGGATGGTGGACCCAGGTGCTGATGCTGTTCTCTCTTCCCAGACTCCACACTGCTGGTGATGCTGCTCATCGGCATCTTTGTCCTCCTGTGCTCCAGCCTCCTGCTGCTGGCTTTCCTCTGCTGCAGGAGGAGGTGGGTCCCAGCCTATCTCCCCCCTCCCCACAAATCATGGGGTTTGTGGGGGGCTCTATTAGGCTGCTGGCTCCATCCTGGTGGATGCCTCTATCACAGGCAGCCCCTCACCTGTGTTGTGCTCTCTCCCCTTGCAGGAAGCCAGCCACCGAGCTGAACTGCGGGCTCACGAAAGGTAACAACCCCCACTCACTGTGGGGGGCTCAGAGAGGTGCTGGGTTCAGGTCAGATGCAGCTGGTTGAAGGCTTGAGCTCAGGCTCCTTCCTGCTCCTCCTCATGTCCCACTCTGGGGGCACCTCCATCCCAAAGGGCATCCAGGGGTGGGGGGAGGCAGGCGTGTGATAAATGGGGGTTTCTGCTCTCTGCCCAGGGCAACCCAAGCTGGAGGCAAGCCAGGTGTGCTCCCTGGGGAGCCTGCCACCCCCCGGATCCACGCTGCCCTCCTTCCCTGTGGTGCTGGGGGACCTCAGCCAGACCCACTCACCAGGTAATGGGAACACAGTGATGGGGCAGAACGGACCCACATCCCTCCCACTGCACCCTGCTCCATCCCCTGCCTGGGATCCCGAACCTTTGCAAAGGGAGAGCCTGGGAGCGCGTGGGCATTAAAGGTGGCCAGAGGGCACTGGGGCAGAGGGAAGTGTGGGGTCTGTGCCCACCCGGGGGTGGACATGGGGCCACGTCCCTCTGTGGGGCCGTTCCCTCTGCTCCGTCCCCATCTCAGAGCCGCGTTCCCCCGCTGCAGACTACGCCGAGCCGGATGTGGTGCAGGTGAGCCCCAGCGGCCAGTTGGCCTCGTCCACCTTCAAGCCTCCCCCTGACGAGAACTACACCCTGCCGCTGGTTGTGAGCCACTACGACGTGCCGGGAAAACACCACGAATACGCAGAGCCTCTGCCACCGGAACCCGAATACGCCACACCGTTTGGTGAACCCGAGCACGTCGGCACCTGCTGGAACCCCAGCGACACCGCAGGGTTCCCCGCCTCCCCGAGCCGTGCCGGCTCCCCAGGCTCCCCCCCAGCACGGTACGTTGCCCCCCCCGTTGCAGCCGCCTGGAGTGAGCGCAGCCCCCCGGGTGGAGCGGACTGCCAGCCCCCACGGGGAGGGGCTCCCTGCGGAGGGGTCCGACGCTCAGCAGCTCGCAGACTGTCCCTTCTCTCACGTGTACCACGAGGCCTGGTGAGGCAGCAGAGGAGAGCTGCCCACCCTCGGGGATGGAGCCCGGCCCTGGGACCTGGGGGGGTTTTATACCTGAATCCGCACTTTTATTTAAATACATACATATATATATATATATATACATACACGTACGTGAGCTGCTCCGTCAGCTGCTGTGCGAGCGCGCTCACGCAGGGCTCAGAGCTGGGCAGAAGCTCGGGGCGCAAAGCGCGCAGCCGCCATGGGGAACCCGGCCCACAGAGCGCTACGGCGGCGAGCAGCGCGTGCACGCGACGCCCCGCCCCCACAGGAGCGGCTGCGGGCACACCCGCCTCTCGTAACGTCACCCCACGTGACCCTCTATCCCGCCCTGCTGCTCTTCGCACCACCACCCCGGGGCGCCAGAACAGGCGGTTACTGGCGACCCCTCCCACAAAAATTGTGCTTCCGAAATCTCTTGATGTCGATTCCGCGGGGGCGGCCAAAGCCCCCCCGTGCCACGCACGGCAGAAGCCCTTTTTAAAGGCGAGCTTCCGCGCTGCGGCCGCTGAGGAGCAACAGGCTCCTCTCTAGCTCGCGGCGAGTCTCGTTGTATTTCCTCAGAAAACAGACTCGTATACGTTATTCCCTACCTTTTCCCCTTCGAATTTCACTGCGCTTTTGGCCGCTTTTGCGTCTTTTCCCTAAAATACCGTTTCTCCCCCCGCCCCATCGGCCTCGGAGCGCTATGCAAATCGCGCGGGGCATGCTGGGCCCCTCCCTTCCCCGCCACGACTCTGCTCACGCGCAGAGCGCCTCGTCTTCTGATTGGCGGCACCGACAGTACTTCCGGGTGGTGCCCCAGAAGGGCATCCGGTGTGCGCGGCGAAGGGAGCGCAGCCGGCGGCGGGGCCTCGGTCCGCCCGTGGGGCATGGGGAGGTACGGGGCGAAGGGGCCGGGAGCGGTGCGGGATGAGTGCGTGGCGCAGCCGGTCGAGCTGCAGCCGGTACCGGCGGGGCTGAGGCTGGCCGTGAGGGGCAGCGCTGGCCTCCCGTGTTCCCGGGATGTAAGTCCTAAAGCGGGACGGGGGCGCTGAAAGCTTCGTTTGATTCTAGACGCTAATTACAGCTGCGAGCGGCTCCGCGCTGCTGCGGCCACGCTTAACGAGCTGCGGAGGATCGCCAGGAAGCGAATCGTGGTGTTAATTGAGGCCACGCCACCCGCTGTAAGGAAAGCACGGAGCTGCCCTGCAGTGCTCCCAGCTGGAGCCCCAAACCCAGCGTCTGCTGATGTATTCAGGGGGCTGGAGCTCCTCTGCTGCGTGTTCCTATGGGGTGTTCAGCCTGGAGAAGAGAAGGCTCTGGGAGAGCACAGTGCAGCCTGCCAGAGCTTGGAGGGAGATCGTAGACAGGAGAGAGAGCGGCTTCTGACGTGGGTAGATAACGATAGGACGAAGGGGAGTGGCTTTAAACTGAAAGAGAGAATTAGGTTGGGTGAGCAGCACGTCCCAAACAGCTGCAAAAGAAATTCACGGATGGAATGTGTGCTGCAGTGTGGTGAAACTGTTTCCTGTTGAGATGTTACGAGGGAATGGGTGACACGGGAAATATCTGGTGTTCCTGTAGGAATGAGAGTGATGTGGAAGAGGAGGAAGAGAGAGTAGGTTAACGCTGGCTGCTGACCCCAGGAAGGCTTTGGGAAATGGCCTCTCCGTTCGCTGGGCCCACAGCAGTGGCTGATGTAATTAAAGATCTAGACACGCAGATAGCTGTAAGTAAACTGCGTGAGCTTGCCTTGAGTTGGCATGCAGGACTGGCGGGGACCTCCTCATCCTGGGTGTTTTGCCTTTGATGATCTTAAAGGCACACAAAAGGTGCCAATAAGATCGAGAGAGAAATGTGCAAAACGACTTTATACCAATAAAGTGCATCCTGCCCCAGGGATTCAAAGCACTGCACAGGCATCGCCTGCTCCCCTGCATGGCAGGTGAGGATTCCTGCTTGGTGGATGCGTAAATGAAGCATGGGAGCAAATGGCCTCCAGCCAGCCTCTGTGCAAACCCTGGCGTGCAATGAAACTCCACTGAGGGTGCTGAGATTTGAGCATAAGGGCCTTCTGCCATTGACTGGGTTCAAACTGAGTGAGCTGGGAATTTGCTGAGAGCCCTACAGAAATGTGTCTCAACATAAATTCTTCTAGAAGAGCTCAGCAGTGCAGCAGTGCATGGGGTTGTGTTGCAGTGAAGCACTAAAACAGCCACCATCTGAGCGTGATTTTTGTTTTCTGTATGAATTAATCCAAACTAACAGCTTGCTGTGCTGAAGGGAAGATCTCTGTTTGTAGCTGAGACAGAAGACACTCTGCTCATCGGTCTGTATGTGAGTGTATTGCATACAGCAGCTCTGGTCTGTCCGTGCAGTTGCTTGCAGCTGACAGTGTGAGCAACCACAGGCACGTGGTGGTGACCCCACCATGAGATCTGAGCTGCAGGTTGTGCTGCCAGAACCCCCTCTGGCTGCCTGTTAGGTTCCCTCACTGTGGCTTTTTGGTGTCCTGCTGTGGGAAGCCTCATCTGTGTTTCCTTTCTTGTCACTGCTCCTTAGAACTGGGACTGAGCTCTGTGTTGTGAAGATGGTTCTGGATTTCAGGAGGGGGGATTGCTGCAGAGCAGGTTTGGAGCAAAGCACTGCTGGAACCGAGACCTCCAGCGTAGAGAGCCTGAGCTTGGTTGTCTTCTGGTTTGGGCTTCTGCCTCCTGGGTTTGTGGAGGATGGAGAGTGACCATGAATGGAGCTCAAGCCTGCTGTGCGTTGCAGGCTGGGCTGTGTCCTTAGGGGACTCTGAGCACAGTTTCACCCTCAGAGCTGCCTGCAGTACGTGTAAAGTGGTTCAGGCAGGCCCTGCTATGAGGCTGAATGCACGCAGGACCCAGCAGGGCGAGGAGCCACTGTGGTTTCAGCATGCTGCATGCAGCTGCTGTGCTTCTCAGGGAAAAATTCGTTCCCCAGATAGCAGGGAATGTTTTCTAAACATTCCTCTTCCTTACCGTGTCTAGAGACCTGCTCTGTAAACTCTGGGTCCTGTCAGTAGCCCCCTTTGGGTCCCTGCTCTGTTTGCTGACTGTCTTCTGTTTCTCTCTGCAGTTGATCGGTTTGGGCCCCCACAACCCCAAGAAGAAGCAGGACCTTGACAAGCTTTATGATCTAAAAGCTAAAGCCCAACAGATTATGAACCAGTTTGGCCCATCTACCTTGATCAACCTCTCCAACTTCTCCTCCATAAAGCCTGAACCTGCCAGCACCCCTCCTCAGAGCTCCATGGCCAACAGCACCGCCGTGGCAAAGATGCCCGGCACACCCAGCGGAGGAGGGCGGCTCAGTCCTGAGAGCAACCAGGTAAACTCAGCCCCAGCTGCAGGGGAGATGCTCACAGCTCTTACAACTGCTCAGCAGTGGTGAAATTCCCAATCTTTTGACACATTTGGGCTGAGAGGATGCTGCCTTCTGCCCTGCAATAATCCAGCACTCACGTGTGTCTGTTTGCCACTTGAAATGCTGAAGGTGATGAGCACTGGAGCGATGGAAATACTTCCTTTATGTCCTGGACACAAAATCAGTCACTGGAACGTTGCTTGCATTTGCCTTTTAAGATTTCTTATTATGCCTTTGTCCTCTCTTGCCAGCAGCCACACTTCAGCCAGGGGCATTGTAGTGCTGGTTTAGTGCAGGAATTTAGTCATCCTGGCCTGCTGCTCTCTGCTTTCTGTTCAGAGCAGCCACTGGTGCTTGAAAATGACTCCTTAGCACTTGATGTTTCTTATCTGCCCTTCCTGAGCTGTGTCAACACGTGTGACTGGGGTCTCTGCTTTGTGGGGGAGGAGGTCTTTCGTGGCCGTGCAGAATGGGCAGTTGTTTGCTGAAGCAGCTCAGTAAATGGTTCCTCTTTCCTCTCTCACGTACTCAGGTTTTAACCAAGAAGAAATTGCAGGACCTGGTGCGTGAGGTGGATCCAAATGAGCAGCTGGATGAAGACGTGGAGGAAGTAGGTACCAACCCGTGGCAGGGGCTGCAGAAAGAGCAGATCTGGGGTTTTCCACAGTCCAGTGGCCCTTTGCCCAAAGCTGGGAGGGTTGGTTTATATTGCACTGCCTTCAGCCATCCACGTCTCTGCTTCCCAGCGTCCAGAAAGGTTTCAGGGAAGCACGGCAAACACCCTTGAAACATTATCTTCTGAGGCTTTGTTTTCATCGTTTCAGCTGTTCAGTGCTGGTAAGAGCTCTTTTTGTCCTCGCTCTGTGGCAGATGCTGTTGCAGATCGCCGATGACTTCATAGAGAGTGTGGTGACAGCTGCCTGCCAGCTCGCGCGGCACCGCAAGTCCAACACCCTGGAAGTGAAAGATGTCCAGTTGCACCTTGGTAAGGAGCTTCCCCTCACCTGAGAGGTGGGCTCACACCCCACTGCTGGGGAGAAAACCCACGAGAAGATCCATTGCCCTCGTAATAAGGGGAAAATCTGCCCCCAGCCCCATTCTCTCCAAGTGGGTGAGGTGTGCTGGCACGTTCTCTCTGTTCCAGAGCGTCAGTGGAACATGTGGATCCCGGGCTTTGGTTCAGAAGAAATCAGGCCCTACAAAAAAGCCTGCACTACAGAAGCTCACAAACAGGTAAGGAGCCCTCAGGAACGTGCTGAGAATCGCCTGGTAGAAGCCTGGTGCAGGTAAGGTGCCTTTGGGCTCCTGGCAGTGGTGAATCTGTAGCCTCTTCCAAGTGGACTTGAAGTAACTTCTGGAGTTTCCTCATTGGTTTGTGCAGAGGGGATTGAGTGTGGCAGCCTGGGTGGGAAGGGTTAAAAAGCAGCTGAGAGCATTTTTGGTTGTTGGAATGATGCAATGCGATGGAAAGCACAGCAGTGACAGCAGAGTAGCCAAGTCCTAGGTTGCAACAAATGCAACAGCTACGGGCACAGCAACAAAGGAAAGAAGCTGCTTACGTTCAGAAGGCCTCAGGTATGCAGGGATCTGCAATGAGACACCCTCACCTCCACTGCTAACCTTTAAATGAGCTCTGGGAAGGGGTGGATCTTCCAGTCACTCAGGTGCATTGCGTGCAGCTGAGCTTCCCTGGGCTGGCCCTGCCTTGCACCAGGTGCTCAGTCACTGCTTCAAGCCATGACTTGCATTTCCACTACAACTGTGGCTTGCACAGACACCGTAGGAATAATTGTAGGTCTGCAAAGGCCACAAATGAGCACAGTGCTGAGAGCTTGCCCTGCCCCTCCTGGCCTGATGCTTCCTGTGCAGGTGGTTAGAAATCAAGGCAAGGCCTGGGGTTTTCTTCCCAGGATGCTAAAGAAGGACTGGAGGAGGCAGGATACCTGAGGGACTGCCTGGGAGAAGTCTTGTGGCCAGTCCTGTCTGGGATGCAGCATGTGGTGCGAGTAACCAGAACTGCCACCCTGCGTTTGCAGACCCATGCTGCATGGTGCAGAGTCATGGTGGCTGGATGTGGTGTCACACACAGGAATCAGTGCTTTACCCCAGGCTTTGGCTCAGCTTCCTTGGGCTTCTTTGTACCCACAGGCCAAGGCTGCACTCATACACTGGGAGCAGCACAGGGCACCTGCTGTGTCCTTGTGTCACAGGTCTCAGCTGCCTGTCACCGTAAGGTTAAACAGCTGCAGCAGAGAACCTGCAGTCATCTGTGATTTCAGCTGTGACTGCAGCTGGGCAGCTGGTTTTTTTCCCCCCCTTAATTTTGCTTTAACTGAACTGAGTGACTGCTTTTGAACCACGAGGCCAGAGGTGGTGCAGGAGGAGCCCTGCAGGAGCTGTTGGAGTTCATGGCTGGTATTGCAGCTCTCCTCCTGGAGCTCGGCTGGGCTCTGGTCCCTCCCCTGCTGCTGCTGCTCTGCTTTGTTACACAGCCTTTGCATCCTGGGGGGCTGAGTGGGGACACGCAGACGTTTCCTTTTCCTCCAGGACTCTGAGATTCAAATGGACCTGACAGACCTGTGTGGAAACAAGACAGGCAGCGCCCTGAGAGAACCCGAGATGGGTTGTTGTGCACAGCTGCTCTCAGGTCGTTTTGCAGTAACCTCACCTGAGACTCAGCTTCCCACATTCTTCTCTTTCTTCTTACAGAGAATGGCACTGATTCGCAAAACCACCAAGAAATAACGCCTGGGAGAAGCTCAAGGTGACACTGGTGCATTTTGGGATCCCTGCCTCTCACTGCAGCCTCTGCGATGCCACCCGTGGGATATTTTTGTTAATGCTTTACAGAGAAGCATATATTTTTTATTAATGGTGCAGCAATATCTGACTTTGTGAGGAGATCTGCCAAAAACATTCTGTCCTCGTTTCCCCATAAGAGCGCAGCGTATCTCAAAGCAAAGACTTTTATTTGTGACTTGAAAGTGGTTTATCGTATAAGTGATTATCTGAGGAACAGAGCATTTGATGGTGTGTGTGGGACAGTATTAGAAGCATCTGTAGAGGTTTTTGTTTCCTCCTTCTGCCCCTCCCTGCTCCAGTACTTTGTAATGTCAGTGTTTATATAAATACTTGCATTTGTTTTACATGAATAAAGAAATTATTAATCTAAAACCAAGGGAAAGAGGCAGCTGTGGGGCTTGCCTGGTGTCTGCGTGTGAGATCTGTGCTGGGCTTTGAGCTGATGGTCTCTGCGCTGCAGGCAGGGCTGTGCCCACCCTGTGCTCACTGTGCCAAGGGCTCCTGCTGGGGTTCCGCCTCTGCTTGGCTGCAGGTAGGAGGAAAGTGGTGGCTGTGGATAAGAGATGAGTGCATTCACAACATGAAGAGTCACATCCCAGCATCTGTTCTGCCCAAACTGGCACACAGCAGAGAAACTACGGCTGCTGTGGGATGTGGTGGGGAGGGAAAGGGCAGCTCTGCAGGCTCCCTGCAAAGAAAGGGAGGTTGTGGACACTGCCTCACTGCAGAGCTCGCTGCTGGGGCTCCAGGGCTGCCAGCACCCACGGGTGAAACCCCCTTTGTTGATACTTGAGGGCTCCGTGCAGCTGGGCAGCCCGGGGCATGCAGTAAGTGCAGCTGAGGCCGGTCTGACTGGTGCTCGGGAGGGAGAGGCAGCTCCTGGGGCACAGAGCTGCCGTTTGTTCCCAGGGCTCTGCCCAAAGCTGGGTTGGGTGCTGCTGGGCGCAGGACACCATAGCATTCTCTGCTCCATAGTAAAACGGGTTTGGAACCCGAGGGCACAGGGAGGGGCTGCGCTCGCTGTCTGGGAACCGCTTTGTAAGGGGGGAGAACAGAAGAACGGGGCTTTGGCACCTCCCTTTCCTCAGGAAACGGGGCAGGCGGTGGGGTGAGCAGGGGGCTGTTTAACGCCATCACTCGCTGCTCCTCCTTCCTCGGCACCCGGCAGAGCCCAGCACCTCAACGCCCTCCTTAGCACGCGCATTTCTTCTGCTTCTCCTTCTTCGGGCACGGTGCTGGCAGCGGCACGCTGCTCTTCACCCCGTCCCACGCCTCGCACGGTGCCAGCAGCCCGCTCTGCAGCGCCCGGTAGATGGCCACGGTCAGCATCTGGAACGCCCGCGTCACATCGCTGCCGTCCTTGGCTGAGGTCTCGACGTACTGCACCCCCAACGAGGCCGCCAGCCGCTCCGCCTCCCTCCTGCCCACCTTACGTTCCCCCACCAGGTCGCTTTTGTGTCCCACCAGCAGGAAAACCACGTGGAAAGGTTGGATGGTGTCTGTCACCTCCCGGTGCCACCGCCGGACACTCTCGAAGGACGCACGGTTGGTGAGGTCGAAGAGCAGCATTGCACCCGCAGAGTTGCGGTAATAGGAATGGGTGACAGACCTGGAGCACGACCAGAGGTGGGGTGAAGGGATCCCCTTCGGTTGGAGCATCCCTGCCCCACCACCCTGCCACCCTACGACCAAGGAGACCAAGGAGAACCGGATCGTTCGCTGTACCGATCGCCCCAGGCAGCTCCATCACAACGTGGTGCACATGGAATGGAAGCATTCCCATCTCAGATGTATTTCTGGGGGGGGGGGTGCAGCCAGCAGCACCAATTTGCTCTGTTTCCCAGTGGGACAAAAGGGAAACCGGCGCCACGCTCTGCCCATGGACTCTGGGGTGCAGGGAAGCTGCTTTGCCCTGATCCCAGCAGGATCCCCAGCCTCTCCCCCGTCCCCCTGCAGCTCCAGGGGCCCACGGGCTCCTTTGGGCCCTCTGCACTTGGATGCAGGGCTCAGAAGAGAACCCTAAGGGCCACCTGAGGGCAATGCCTTTAGCAATGGAGACACAGCCCTAGCAGGGCGTCCTCGGGATCCCAGCCCACAGGAATCCACCTCCCCCTGCCTCCCCACAAGCAAAGCAGGACCCACCTGAAGCGCTCCTGCCCAGCCGTGTCCCAGAACTGCAGTTTGACCTGCAGCCCCGGCTCCAACTCCACGAACTGAACGTAGAAATCCACCCCCACCGTCTGATTGACGGCATCCAGGAAAACCCCCTCGGTGTAACGCCGCAGCAGGGACGATTTGCCCACCGTCGAATCCCCCAGCATGATCACCCGGAACTGGTAATGCCACCGCGGCTCCATCGGCTCCCAGCACCCCGCACCCACTGCGTGCTGGGGCAGGCGCTGCTGCTCCTCCCTGGGGTGTGGGAGGCGTTCCTGGGGATGGGTGGCACGGGGGGGGGGCTGAGGATCACCTCCCACTTTGCTCAGCTCCATCCAGCTGTGGGCACCAGGGGGTGTTTGGGTGCCAGCCGTGCTGTGGGGAGCAGCCCTGGGACGCTGCAGGTCTTTAACTGATGTGGAGATGCGTGCAGAGCAGTGGGTGATTCTCTCAGCACCTCCTAAAGCAGAGCATCTCCCCCCTCTCCCCCCCCACAGTCACACCTGTGGGGCACCAGCACTTGGCAGAACCTTTATCTCCATGCAGGAAACATTTGGTTTTGGGTGCTGACCCTTTGCCAGCACTTCAGGGAGTCCCACACTACAAAGCCTGGCCCTGCTAAGCCTCTCACCACCATTGGGAGGATGCTAAAGCACGGTCAGGAGCTCAGCCTCAACTCCACAACACCCAAAAGTTGTCTGCACAGCCCCACAAAGCCTCCACGTATCCCTGCCAGGCAGCCACGCTCACCTCTGCTGCACAGAGAGTCCTGGGGCCCCTCAGCATTCTTTAGGGAGCCTTCCATTGGAATCTCCTCCCAGCCAATACCACCAACACAACCCCCTCCTGTGCTCCAGGGCTGCACAGAGAGCTCAGAGACACACAATGAAGGAATGCAACCATTGTGGGCAGCTGTCGTGTATAAAGGTGGCTCTTGATGATTCAATATTAATGAAGGAAGTGCAAACCTGTCTTTCATGATATCTCACAATCGTTCTCCAAAGTCACTCTGATACACAGAGCGCAGATTCAGAGGAGCAGGTGGCTGCTGCTGTGACAGCCATTTCAGTCCTACAGCTGTAAGGGCTGTAGCAATGGCTCAGCCTCAGTTTATCTTTATTCCCTGGAAATCTACTGAAGCAAAATCACCACCATCTTCACCCCGTGACAGAAAAAACTCATTATGCCTTGCCTTCTAAGGCCAGCAGCAAAGCACTGGTCAAACTGAGAACTGGAGCTGACTTGAAGTCCTGGCTTCCATTCAGAACACAGCTCTCTCTGTGCCTGAGCCTCAGTTGCTCCAGGGTGCACCACAGGCTTTCCAGGGCGTCCCACTACTCCAAGGACTCCCCTCCAAGGTCACAGCAGACTACACCCAGAGCTCCGTGGCATTTAGGGCACCCTAGAGACCTTCCAGTGTGCCCTAAAGGACTCTCAAGACCCCCATGGTACTCAAGGCCCCACTAGAATACCTTCAGAACTCCTCAGTGCCCAAGCTGCTCCTCAGCACAATCCAGCAATCTCCAAGAACCACCCAGTGTGCTCCAGGAAATCCTCCAGTGCTCCCACAGCTCACCAGTGAGCTCCAGAGGCTTCCTAGAGACCCTGGAGGCCTCCCACAGCCACACACCGTGTTCCAGGGCACTGTCACAGCTCCTCAGGGTGCCCTCAGGTGCCCCAGCAGCTTCCCAGTGTTCCCCCCAGTGCATTCTAGAGTGCAGCAGAGAGTTCATAGAGATTCCCAGAGAAACACCTCCTCACTGCTAAATAAAACACGTTGAATGATACGAGGTCCATCCATGAAGTCTTAAATTTATGGCAAGAAACAAAGGCCATTCTGTCATGCAATCATGATAATTAGTGAGCTAAGAAATACCCAGGAGAGAGCAAAACCAGCCAGCAGCCTTCGGATGCGACTGCAGGGTTTCATCACTTCCTTCCATTTGATTCTCCCATCAGGTTAGGCAAAGTTATCAGGAAGACATCCTTCAGCACTGTGAACCCACAGCCTGCCAAGCACAGAAGACCTGGGAAGCATTGCTCAGCCTTCTCAGCAGCTCTGCACCACGCTCCAAACAGGAAGAATTGCACGTGTGACCTCTGTGGAAATGGTGATCATTTATATTGCAACAAAAAAAGTAAGTTTTAATGTGACTTTGAGTAGACAGAAAGAGCATCATCCAGCAGCACTCACTGCACTCTGTAGAAGATCCTTAGCCAGTCATCAACACCAAAATACAGAGGAAAAGGAACTTCCATCTTAAAAAGGGGTTTTTTCTCTTAAATGTAACAACACCTGGAAAACATGTCAGATCCAGAGGGTCTTTCTTAAGTGTCCAGTGCAGAAAATTCCTAATAAATAAAAGTGGCAAAAGGTTCAATCCTTAGGAAGGCAGCTACTGTAGAGGAAATTTTGTGAGCTTAACACTTTTGCTTACGGAGCCGAATGACCGTAACATCATTTCTCCTTCAGAGTCAGATCTTCCTCCTTTAGGGCAAATTTTCTTCTCAAGACTTCTGCTATCAGAACAGCAGGGTCTTCCTCCTTCGCAGAACTTCGGTTTCTACATGGAAGACAAACACAGGGTCAGGAAGGAGAAGGGCCCAGCTGCTGGCTGGCAGCCCTGACACCTGCAGGTATTTCTCTGCAGCGTTCTGCGTTGGCTTCCATCACCTGCAGCTCCTTGTGTTGGATGAAGGGGGCATTCTGCAAACCTCAGCATTCAAACCTCAGCACTTTTGGTCAGTTGTGTTCATGGCACCAAAAGCAAAATACAAATTTGCCCATTATTAACAAGCTCTGTCCCCGCAGTACAAACAAGTGCTGCTTGTTTTGTCTTTTTGTTCCTTTTCTCTTACAAACAGATCATGTAACTGCAAGGCCTATTTCGGTTTCTTAAAAGCTGTTATCTCTCATAAAGCCATTAAGCTGTAAAGCCATTAAGCTTATTTTGATTCCTTAGGGCCATGCAGTCTATCCACATGGTTTAAGACAGACTGTAAAAGTTGAAGTGCCAGTATTTTGGAGGTAACTGTAGTACACAGCTGCCTTTGCTGGCCTCCAGCCTTGTGAGCAGTGTTTTATCTTAACCCACCTGGGCTGTTCACAGCCCTGCTCACCCCCTGCACCCCTCATGGGCAGATATGACACTACAAAGAGATGCTCCCCCCTGAATCGTGGGCATACAGCAGCACCAACAGGCAGGTGAATACAACAGCTGGTGCTGGGGAGCAATGGAAAGCAATGATAACAATGATAATGCTCTCTACCAGGACAAGAGCACAATTATAAGGGTATTTGTTAAGATTAAGCCTAGAAAGCAATAGAGAACGTGGCTCACCCTTTCTAAAGGCTGGTGACAGCTTGAGAAGAGCACAGTCAGCACAATCTCTGAAGAGAGACGTTGCCCCCTTGGCTGCTAACACTTAAATGAGGGTAAGGAGGACCCAGGGTCCAGCCCTTCCAGTCACTCAGACACACTGCTTGCACCTGAGCTCTGTCAGCCCTGCCTTCTCACCTGGTGCTCAATCACTGGTTCAGGCTGTGACCCAGCAATCCTCACACAGGTGTCTGCAATGATCTGACAAACAAAAGCAGAAGAAAAAAAAAAAAGATGCCAAACTTTGAAAGAGAAAATAAAATAAAACTTACAAGTCTTTGCTCTGCTTCATCCTATGAATGTCTTTTAGAATGCCCATCATGTCTGCAAAACTGCTGGCCTTGGACAGAGACATAGAATCCTCCTCATCGGGATCCTTTGGTTCTGCTTTGTAGCACTCAGATGCAGAACAGAGCATGGAGACTGAGGGAAGCTCGGGGCTCTCGAGTTCTGCCTCCTCCTCTGTGATGTCACTGATGACAAAGGATGTCGTGGATTGGAAAGAGGGTCCAAAACAATGCAAAGGAGAAGATGCATTTGAACTTCCTGGAGACAATACATCAGGGGTGAAGGAAGCAGAAGCTGAAAGAGAAAACAGGACAGGCGAAAAGATTAAATAGTATTTTATATTTTACTTTGGTTTTGTTTTCTCAAAGCAACAGAGCACAAACCAGGAGCACCACGAGCCACCCACCCTTCTGTTATTTACAGAATAAAAGTAAGGAAATCATCACAGCCTGTGTGTTACTCTCCATGGCCACTCCATTTCTTATGGCATGGCACTGCAGCACAAGACAGAGATGTGCTTGGTTTATTTCTCACTGAAAGAACCTTCCTGCACTGAAAAAAAAACCAACAAAACAACCCTGCAGTTTAATGCCCTGACACCCGTGGCCTCAACACTACACTTGTCAGTAGTTATTAATTGCCAGCTGAGAGATTTCTCTAACAGTGCAAAAGCAGATTGCACAGCGTTTCTTTTTTGACATCAGTGTTTCTGAAATGAGCCTGCTGTGCACTCCAGATCCCTGAGCTCCAGTTCAGCCCTAACCCATTCCTGCCCACATCAACTCAGAAGACACTGATCAGAACAGTTCTCACATGCCATCTGCTAAGCAGGCACGTTGCTGAGTTGAGGGCAGAGAGGAACTGAATGATTAAACGAGTTTTCTCCCATCCAGATCTCTAATCTTCCTCATCATTACTTTTGGTGAATTTTGGCCCACAGTGTGCCCAGGTGGCCAAGAGGGCCAACGGCATCCTGGCCTGCATTAGAAATAGTGTGGCCAGCAGGAGCAGAGAGGTGAGCATCCCCCTCTACTCAGCACTGGTGAGGCTGCACCTCGAGTGCTGTGTTCAGTTTTGGGCCCCTCACTACAAGAAAGACATTGAGGCCCTGGAGCGTGTGCAGAGAAGGGCAACGAAACTGGTGAGGGGTCTGGAGCACAAGTCTTACGAGGAGAGGCTGAAGGAGCTGGGATTGTTCAGTGTGGAGAAGAGGAGGCTCAGGGCAGACCTCATTGCACTCTACAACTTCCTGAAGGGAGGCTGTGGAGCAAAAGGGTCTGGCCTCTTCTCCCAGGCAAATAGTAGGAGCTGAGGAAACGGCCAGAAGTTGTACCAGAGGAGGTTTGGGTTGGATATGAAGAGAAACTTTTTCTCTCAAAGGGTGGTCAGGCACTGGAATGGCTGCCCAGAGAGGTGGTGGAGTTGCTGTCCCTGGCAGTGTTCAAGAGGTGCCTGGATGAGGAGCTACAAGATGTGGTTTAGTGCTTGTGGTACTGATAGGAATGGGAGGGGGGTTGGACTGGATGATCTTGCAGGTTGTTTCCAACCTTGTGATTCTGTGATAAAGAGCTTTTCTAACTTGCATGCTGGATGGCTGAGAGCCTGGGGAGGGGAACAGCAGGGAATCTGCCCTGTTCTTAATTTCTATTTCTTTGTTGCTCTGAATCAGAGCAGTGAGGGAAGGGGACGCAGCCCCTGTGAAGCACGCATCTGTGACAGCCTGACAGCCTGCAGAGCTGAGGGCAGCACGGCTCCTCGCTCCCATGCACAAAGCAGCATTCCACCACGAGCCCCACAGCTCTGCTCCACGTTCAGATGCTTCTCAGCCGCAGAGAACAGAACTGAAAATGATCAACCATCAGAGCTGTGAGGCCCTGGGGCTCCAGCCATCGGCCGCCTGCATTCCACACATCACCAGATGCAGCCCCAGCACACAGTGAGCCCTGGTGCTGAGAGGAACCTGGGACCTGTCTGCTGCTGGATGCAGGTAAGGATGGTTCTGAGCCACTGCCTCCCCCACCAACAGCTGCAGGACATCAGCTTGAGTGGTGCACCACCTTGTTTTGCTGCTTTAAAGTAATGGAAAAATTACAGATCCTTCTTTTCCTCGCAGCTGTAACACAACTGGCATCTTGGTCGCTGGCCAAAATATTCTGCATACATGAGATGCAGCCTTTAAGAACTGCCTCCAGTTCAATTCCTGCAGCTCGCAGAACTGTCTGTTTACCAATGTATTCCAAGCTGTGAGACCAACTATCCCACTTTCTGACTGCTCCACAAATATACCCAAGTACTTCTGGCCTTGCTGGCTTCCACACTCAAGCAGCCACTGCAGCAACACACCTCGTGCAACTACTAGGATTTGGGCTCTAGCAAATATCTTCTCATTTCCAGAGCTCATGTGAACTGTATGCACCCTGTATACCCACACAAGGAAGGCCACGAAAGGAAGAATGAACTCACAGCTCAGTTTCATGGCCAAAACATGAATTTTATCACGTTTCCTAAAAGAAATAATAATTAATAAAAAAAATAATAGATCAGATCAACCATGCTCTTCCCCAAGTACTTTCTTTGTTACATAAATAGGGCTATGCTCACAACAGAAACAAGTGCTGTTGGTCTCTCCTCCCCTCACACTCATAGTCAGCTTGGCAAGAATACCCCATGAACTGCCATGGAGCAAAGTCATTGGGATGGAACAGCCTGCAGAACACATGCAGTCACAAAGCAACACCTGGTCCTTCTGAAAAAGAAACAAGATTCCTCTAACGAAATAAATGCAGACATCTGGACAAAGAACCAGCACTGAGTTGGCATCACACCAGTAAGAGTGACAGGCCTGCTGAACAGTAACAAGTCTGCTCCCTATGGAGGAAATAACATGCTTCACTCATGCAGCCCTTCTCATTCGGCAGAAGAAAACTCCTGTGCTCCCACCTGGCCCCGCAGCGACAATTTTAGCTATCTGACTCCGAAGGTGACTCAGCTCATCCTGGAGCTCCGTCGTTCGGCTCAGTGCAGGTAAACCAGGCTTCTTCAAGGCCAGCAGCTTCTCTTCCTGCTTCCTCAGGTTGGGGACGGAAGCATTTCGCTGTATGACCGTGAAGGGACTCGGTTTCCATTTGTGTTTCAGAGGGCGAGTGTCGCTTCTACGAGACAAAGACCTGCCAGTCACTGATGGACCCGAGCCCCTCCACAGCAGTGCTCAATCTCCCTGCCCTCCCTTGGGATGGCAAAGCAGTTCAGCACAATAAATCAAACCGTGCTCCACACCCTGTTTGGATGTGCTGTGCCATCACACCGCTGTCTCTCTGCGTTGCAAGCAATGGAAAGTCAAAGAAATCACAATCAAACAGCACAGACAAGGTGAAGTGGCACAGGGACAGAAGTCTCTGTGTGCTCCCATGGCTTCAGATCCCATCCCTCCTGCTAACTGTATCCCCGTGCTGGGCAGTGTGCTGGGTGCACAAGATCAAGCACCACTTACCCATTAACTTCTGCCTCTGATTTAATCTCTCACAGGATAACTACTGCTGTTGTCCTGCTTAAAGGACACAGGTTTCACTGAACAGCACCAAACTCTCAATGTCCCAGGAAAACCAGGACTCACTTGGAGTGCACAGTGCTACAACAAGAGGCAGTGGGCACTAATTGGAACACAGGAGGCTCCATCCAAACATCAGGAAGCACTTCTTTACTGTGTGGGAGATGGAGCACTGGAATGGGTTGCACACAGAACTTGTGGAGCCTCCCTTCTTGGAGATGTGCAAAAGCCATCTGGGGTACACTGCTGGAAATCCCTGCCTGAGCAAGGGATGACCTCCAGAGGTCCTTTCCAATCTTAACTACTCTGTGATCCTGTGAGCTCAACCCTTCAACTTCCTAGGCTGAAAAATACCATGAGCTGGAGCCTTGCTCTGCTCAGATGTTTCAGTGAGTAAAACGCAGCACAAGCCCTTAATGCTTTGTGAGCATTCCTCCAGGAAACCTCTGTGTTTTTCTTGTCCCTTGAGAAAAACATCTTTGAACAGACAACACATCAGCCCTCAAGGTGACCAGAGATCATGAGAGCAGATCAATTTCTGGCCTGTGCTACGCAGAAGAAACCTCTTTATCAAAATAAGGGTCAACAGACACAAAGATGAAACCAACCTGACTCGGGCATACGTTTCTTCATCATCTGCTGCTATCCACCCAATGTCTGCCAGGGTGGGGACAGGAGGGGCATCATTTAAATAGAGCTCTGAAACATTAGGTAGAACCTACAAAGAAGAAAATCACATGAAGGAAATGGTGGTCCTGTCTCCTGAAGCCACTCCGGATTTGTTACACTGTCAGAGCCTTTCTCCTCTACATCAAACCAGCCAACAGTTTGCAACACTGTTTATCCTATGGAACTGCAGCGCTCCACTGCCAACGTGTGCCCCAGTGTTACTGTGCTCTGAGTCTAAACAGCAAAGCAGCCAAGGGATATTTGATACTGCTGAACACGCTGCCTAGGCCACGTGCAACACTTTGTCATTACACGTCCTTGACCTCAAACAGTTACACAAGTGCTTCCATTAGCCTTGCTTACTGCTTAGGAAACAGGCTCAGCAGCTGCACGAGGCCACAACACAAAGCAGAGGTTCAGCAGCACGTTTCTGCCTTCCCAGCTACCAGCTCTCCAACTCTGCACAGGCATTATTGTAGGAGGTGCTTTCCTCAATGTTTACCAATGGTCATTTACAAGCACAGGAATTGCACTAAAAGAGAAAAAAAACCTTAAAGTTAACTATGTAGCTACACAAAAGTTTTGCAAGTGTTGGTCTGCACACACCTGGTTCATGGTTCAGCAGTTTATGAGTGACACAATGAGATCAACATGTAAAAGTAGTTCAGATACACTCCACTTATAGTAAATAAGTGCTCATCTGCACCCAGAACACGTTAAGCATATTGTCCCAGCAAGCAAGCTTGCCACAAATTACCCTTATTTTTCTCTGTCTGAATGGTGTGCTGGCACTGAGCACAAAGACACATCAAAAATGAAGACCTGATCCACAATCTGTTAAAAGAATGGGGACTGACATCTGGAAACAGCTGCATGTACACTTCTCCAGAGGCTCTATCTTATGTCCGTAGCACAATTTATGCTGGCTGAAAATTATCCTGATGTTTTCTTCTACTTAGTCATGCCCCCATAGTGCGTGGCTGCCTTATTTTCATTAGGCTTTATTTATTTTTATTCATTTATTTGAAAGAAGGAGGAGAAAAGAAGTTGCTTTGATTTGTCTTCTATGCCAGTGAGTATGGAGGGGGAATAATGTAAGTCATATCTTCCATTTGTTTGGTTGTTTTTTTGAGACACCATTAACTGAACATTGCTTCTGCCTGCAGTGTGCTTTTGGTATACAACAAGGAAGTTTCTCCTGTGGAAACTATGCTGGAGGTGTTCAAGGCCAGGTTGGATGGGGCCCTGAGCAGCCTGGGCTGGTATTGAATGTGGAGGTTGGTGGCCCTGCGTGCAGCAGGGGGTTGGAGATTCATCATCCTTGAGATCCCTTCTAACCCTGGCCACTCTGTGATCCTGTGAGAGTGCCTTGTTTTGCTCCCTACCCACAACCACCAAACTCCTTGTGAGCACGCTTACCTCAAAGGTGGCTCTGGGACAGGGCTTTAAAGGGAGGTTGGATCCAATCCTCCTGACGACGCTGCGCGCCGAGCCGTGGGGTTTGTTCTGCCAAATGGGGATTGTCTGAAAGAAGCCGTATTGCACAATTAATATTCAAAGTCAGCTGTCCTCTTTACGACCTGTTAAATTGGGAGCTGTCATACGTAATCTGATCTCTGATTTTCGATTTGCTTAAAGATAGTTTTAATTAGGAATATGAGAACCTACCAACAGCTAAGGTTCTAATGCCATCAAACTGTGCTTTAGCCGAGCAGCGAGTCAGTTACTGAGGGGCATTTTTAACACAAGTGCACTATTTCAGGACTGAAAGCTACAAGTGTTCAGGAACAGACACTGAGCAATACATAAAAACATGCTGAAAGGAGGAAAACATTGTTATGTGAATAGCCCAGAAGAAAAATGAAGCCAGAAATCACATTTAAAGGAGGTACCTTTAATTCCACGACCTTTAAAAGCAGTGCTGACAGAACTGTGAACAATTCTTGAACAAAGCATCAAGTCCATTCAATGTCTATCCAAACTGAGGGCCCTCAATAACAGTCACAGGGAGAATCTCCAGAATCAGTGTTTTTGCAATCGCTGGCTACTAATTAAACTGATTCAAAACAAGTTCTGTCTCTCTTTGGTTGTTCTCCCTCCCCCAGTTTTACAGCTCTGCCATTGGCTTTCTGACAGGACACTGCACAGCACCGGGCATCAAACACCACAACGAAAGCCAGGAATCCAAACAGCTTATTTTGCTCAGCTCACCACCAAATCCATTAAGAATTTATCACTGCCATTTGCTACGCGCACAAAGCCTACAAGCTAACCTTAAAATAGCAGTTACATCACTGTACTGAAAAGTCCCCGTGCTTCGAACTGAACGCCCGGCAGGGCAGCGCGCGGGGAGCGGTGCCAAGAGCACCGCGGAGCCGATGGATCGGTGATGGCGGTACTTACGGACTCCGTTGCCATATCGGGCAACCGGCAGCTCGTCAGCGGGGCGGGATCAGGGCTGCGTGCTGCGGATCCCGGGGACGCGCTCCGGCCTCATGGCACGCCGCTCGGGACCGCGCCGCGGGCTTCTCGCTACAAGACAGCGGTCATTGCGCTGCAGCGCTGCGCTCTCCCGCACCGGGGCCGCGCCAACAACGACCGAGCCGGGCCAAGAGCGTCCCCTGCGCGCTGCCGAGCTCCGGCGGTGCCGCCTGGCCGCTGCCGGCACGAAGCGGCGAAGTCACCCAGCCCGATGGAGCAGAACGCGCCGCTCCCGCCCGCCGCCCCGCCCTCACCCAGCGCTACCTGAGAGCGGAGCCGCGCCGCGCCCAGCACCGCCCCTTCACCGCCCGGAAGTAGAATGCGCACCGGAAGCGAAACTCCTCCGCGCACTTCCGCTGCGGCTCCGCGCGCATGCGCCTTGGGCCCGTAGGCAGCACGTGGGATGGAGCGCACCCCCAACACCCCACCCGGCGTTCTGCAGGCAAGGACTGAGCGAGGCTGAGCTGGTGGGATCGGTTTAAGGAACGCGGCTACAGGCGGCCCGCACAGCCCGTCACACCGAGCGGCACCGGCGCACGCAGATCCAGAGGCAGAGCAGCGCTGCTTTCCCACGAAGTGCTGCTGGCAGACATCAGCTCTGACCCGTTTGTGGATTTAAGGCCAGAGCGTCACGAAGCACAGGAGATCGTGAAAAGCAGCATCGCCCTCCCCCTTTGGAATATCACAAGCTTACTGAAAAATATAGTAAGATTACAAATATAAGAGAAAACGCTTGGCACGTATTAAAAAAAAAGTCCTCAGCTAACAGTTTCTGTCCAGAGCCCGTTCACAGCAGTGGATGGAAGGTGACAGGTTGATTGGGATGTCTTGTGGTTCATGAGATAACACGAGGACGCTGCTGAATCCAGGATTCTCCAGATTGCTCCAGGCTAAGGATGGCTGTTTGGGCTCCTGCTTCAATTCAGCCGAATGCCTTCTTGCCGTGCTCACAGCACCAGGGAGAGAGGCTCCGGTCCCTCCTCTGCCTGCTGCTCCCTAGCTTTGCAGAACTGCTCCTGTACCTGATTCCCCAAGCTTTGAGGAGACAACCCTGAGTTGTTTCAGCCACTGCTCTCTCTGGCCCCTTCTGCTGCAAAACCAGTCAAAAGAGAAATAAATGGAATGAATACACGTGTGCTGCTTTGAAGTCTGCAGCTCCAGACTAAGAGGCTAACAAAAAGTGAGAAACGAACAGAAACCCTCAGGTGAAGCTCCTGCTGTAAAAGCTGTAAGAGCAGATAACACTAAAGCAGTGCTTCCCAAGGTGCTGGATGGAGGTAGGCACTGTGCTCTGTTGCTCTTGCCTTGATTCAAAGTCCCCAGAAGGGTCAGAGGGGGCTGAGCTGCCATGGTGACTTGACTCCTGGTCTCTTTAACGCTGTCTGGAGGCTTTGACACTTTCCACAGCCACCACTGAAAGCACTGCCTGTATGTAATCCAAACCTGTAATTACTGCAGGCCACTTGGAGGGTTAGAAAAGTGTGGAACTAATGCATAGTTAAAAAGCCAATACTAGGAAACATCCCACAGGTAATTAATCTCACTTAGAGCAATTAGCTACACTACACTGAGTTGTTCAGAGGTCCATCTAAACTCGGCCTGATGACCTCCAGAGATCCCTTCCAACCTTTTCCCTTCTGTGGTTCTGTGAATCGTGACCCCAGCATCCCTTCCAGGTCCTGATGCCCAGAATGAAAGTACCCCCCTTTCCCCTAACTCTGGATTTGGTCCAACAAAACTGTGCTTCAGAGAGCAGAAAAAGTATCAATTGAAAGGGCTGCTTGCAGGCATCTTTTGAAGATGGTTTGTCTCACCTATTTACAGGAGTGTGCTTAAAACACCATTTCTTTTACTTTTCCTTCCCTAAATTTCACTCACTGTGCAGTCAGCCATTGGTACAGAGGAGGAACAACTGCTCAGGATGTTTGTAGACAAGAGCAATTGGCGCTCTGTCCGAACAGTTCTCTCCCTGGAAGGAGGCAGTTTCTTTAAAACTGGTCCATTCTAAACCATCCAAAACTCTCAGGATAAGGCTGAACCTCCCCTTCCTAAAGGTAACTTTATCACGGTTCATTATTCAGTATGACTTGAGAAATCAGAGCAAACATGCACTGAGTATTTTGTCACTGCTGCCGACACACTGGGAGAACAAAGCTCTCAAAACAGGTGGGGTGGGAGTAGCTTTGGTCTGAATAGGATGGGGGCACAGTTCAGTACAGCTCCCATCGCCTGTAGGCACACCCTAGGACAGGTGGAGCTCACTGCCAGAGGCTCTGGCCCTTATTCCCCAAGTTAACCCATACCTGACATCTCCGAGCTGCACCACACCTCCAATGCCCCATTCTCCACTCCTAGTTGCACCACATCAACCTCACCATCTCCATCAGCTGCAAAGACTGTGAGTGATACAGCTCTTGCACCACGTCGCTCAGGATAACCATCCCAGGAAGCTGGGAGGAGGCTACTTCAGAGATCAAGCTACATCTTCCTACTTCCACGCCTACACATTATCAACTACAGTCCTTTACACACAGGTTGCCACTGCTGTCAAGAATGCTGTCACAAAGAACTGGGATCCACGCCACAGAGCAGCCTACAGCTCAGTGCTGCTGGCAGGAAGCTCGGCACACACCAGCTGCCCAGGGAAGAGCTTGCTGTCTGCACTGGATTCTGTGCACTCGCCCACACAGCACGGATGTGCATCATGATTGTTCAGTCATCACAGCAGTGCTGTTCTCTGTAACTCAACACACAGTCCTTGAGATCAGATGTTTCCTGGTGATGCTTGGTATGGCTGTAGAAAGAGTTTCATCCCAGAGTCTGAGCAGGAGGAGGAAGAGTATGGGGGTGGGTGGCAAGACGTATGCACAAAGAATGTTTATAGATCCAAGTCTTTTCACTCCTGTAAAAACTTGCCTGAACTCAGAAGGGCAGATGACATAAACTGGTATCACTTGAAAGTTTAGCCTTGAACCAACATCTCCAGATCATCCATGGAAAAGCCCCCGTTCTGGAATTGTCTGCATCTTAACATCAGTGCATGGCACAAAGATGAGGAAGAACTGCTGCAATCGAAATGGATGTCTGAAGTGTTTGGCCAACTCCATGAGGCATTCGGGTGCCTTTGGTTTTAGTTCTGCAAATAAGCTTTTGCTCTTTGCAGTCCTTCCTTAAGAAACTGGAGGTAAGTTGCAGTAGAAGGGTCATCAAAATTGGATGAGAAACTAAAGATACTACTTTCAACATCTTCAGGCTTCATAGAAGTAATATCCAGGAAGTAGTTGGCATTGATGTGGTGAATCTAGGAGAGAAAACAGATGGGAAGACTTTAAAGGCCAGCACAATCTCCCATCCACTGCCTTGGCCTCTAGCCATGACACAAGACTGCAACACTCTGAAAGAATCTCAAACACTTTGCAAATGCTAATTCAGCATCGAGGATTCGGGTTTGCATTTCACAGTCAGACAAAGATGAGCAAAAGACAACGGTCCATTCTTTCCCTTGAGAGTGCTGACCCCTCATTTAGGTTAAGAAAAATACGAAGGGGATTGGGGAGAAATCACACAGGTGTGAAACTTAGCAACGAGTGCAAGTCAGCACATGGCAGCCCAGCCATGCTGACTGCTGGGGTGCATGCTATCAGACCAGCCTACGTGCAAAACCAGCACATGTGTTTAAAATGCCTTCCATTCCCCAAAGGAAATAGGAGAGGGGCCCACAGAGTCCCTGTGTCATCCACGAGAACAACACACAGTCCTACAAAGCATTGAGGAGCCACAGAATGGCTGAGGGAGCATGGCATTCAGGCTCTGCAGATGAGAGTACATTCAGGTGGGGAGAACCAAGGAAAACTGAAGAGATAATGATCGTACCACCGTGCCATTGGGAAGGCAGATGATCATCTCCACAGGGAAGTTGTATTTTTCAAGGTGCAGGTCAGCCAGCTTGCTGTAGAACTCGTTCTCCCTGTTTGTCTGTAAAGGATCCCCAAAGAAACACACTGTATACACCAAAACTAGCAGAAGAAAGCAGGAGGAGCAATCCTAACATGGGAGCCACTCTGTAACACGGTAGCTGCCTCCATTTTCATGATCTGCTTTATTATTCCCTTGCAAGTGTCCCCCTGCCCTCACACTTCTAAAGCTACAGCTTTTCTCCTCCAAAAAACAAAATCATCCCATTACTGGCAGTTCCCAGGCACATCAACAGTCCAACCCCAGCTTTTCCCAGCATCTCCAGCTCTGTAACTGACCCCTGCTTTCAGCAAAGGCCGAGGGATAGACTCATGAGTGGGGAAAGGTGCAGTCAGGAGATCCAGGAGTCAGAGTATTTGGTTAGTGCCTGGGTTACAGAGAAGTCAGCCTGCCAATAGCACAACAAGCCCTGGACAAGGCTTAAAAGCATCTGGGAGCAGTGAAACATCTGGTTTGGTTTTTTGTACTGCCACCATGACAGAGTGAAAGGGATGACTGTGCTATTTTCTTAGCCAGCCTCTATCTGGTGTTTGTTCTGCCACTGGTTACTAGAACACACAAGGCTTGGAACCAAAATCCCTCATCTGCACAGGTGTGATCTCCCCTCTTCTGCCAGCACCTCTGTGCCAAGCACCACCTGCGTTCACCAGCACCAAACACAAAGAAAGCAGAAGGGCTGTGACACTCACCTGCAGCTCTTCCAGCTCCTTTACAAGTGACCAGCTGCTAATGAAGCTCTCATTCAGCAGGGCGAGGATGGGCGAACTTTCCAGGACAGTCTCCCGGAGAGTTCGCCCCGAACCTGGCACACAAAGAGGGGCACAGAGTTGTTTGCAGCTTCCAGGCTGATTATTGCCACGATTCATGCCACTGCTGAGCTGTTGCAGCAGCTGCCTTAGGCTCCCCCTAACCTGGCACACGGTCTTATTTCCCCTCTGCTGACAGTTTTCCATAGCTTACTGCTTCCAGCATACACTGCTGGTAAAGAAGACTCACCAGAGCAGATCCCACCCACCTGCAAAACAGCACAAGGACCGGGGCAAGAATGTCACAGGGGCTGACAGGGCTGGTGCTCTTCAGAAAAGATCAGAGCCTGCACACTCACCCTGAGTGCCTCCTGCTTTTCACACTAAGCAGAGCAATCTGCCTAGAGAGTTTTTAAGGGCAGACAGGACAAAGATTTCCACACCTCTCCCAGATGTTTCTCCCCTCTTCTGTAGCACACAAGTTATTGGGCACATGGAGGAACAGTCTCACAGCAGCACAATTGCAGGCCCACGCCTGGCTCTGGCTTCTCCCATGCAGGTGTCAGGGACAAAGCAGAGAGCAATGTCTCTTTAACTCTGCAGATACTGCCTCTACCTCAGCAGACTGAGAAGGGAAGAGGGAAGATCAAATCCACACCTTCCCCTCAACAAAGGCACCTAAATGACTGAGTCACCTAAGGCTTTTCTCTAATACATCTAATTTTACCACTGGTATCTAAGCTCTGATCAATAATTCCCCACTTCCAGCCCTTTTCTATCCAGGCATATTCAGTACCAAAATAAGTAACACAACATTTACCACTGGCTCCCTACCAGCTTCCTGACACTCAGCCCTTCTCAGACCCAGAATGAGGTACATCATTCCTCCAGCTGCTGTGGGAGAGTCCCTCACCTCAGCAGGACTGGTCATCCAGGGCACCCCACAGCAGGATTGAGTGCACCAGCTTCTTTTCTGCTTTTGCTCTCTCAAAAGCTTCTGTGAAGGGAAGATAGGAGACCTGGAGACAGATAGGAGACTTTGAGAAACAAAGAACAGCTTATCCCAAATACAAAAGGGATTTGAAGGAACCAAATCTTCCACACCCCAGAGATGGCCTACAACGAGCTGCAGCAGTTCCTGTAAACCAAAGCAATTCTAACTGTGGTGCTCTCCCCAAGGGGGATTTTTATCTTCCCTCACCACAGAGTCAACACGAAGCAGGGAGGCACTTCCATGGCAAGAACAACCTCTTTTCCTGCTGACTTTCAGCTGGTCATCTTGTTACTGCTGCTCAAGTAGAATGCAGCAAGGCACAGCAAGTCTGAAGCATTAACTGTGTTACCATGTTACCCATTCCATTCCTTTAGGAAACCTTCAGGAAGATAGAATTACCCTCAGGTCTGACAAACAGCTGAGGATACAGTGAGACTGTAACAAACCCCTCACAGCAAGTGGGCTTTTATTTGCACAGCCAACTTCACACATTGCAGACAGCCTCCAGATGTGCCTCTGCAGGCTGGGAAACCTGAACTTGAGATATTTATCACAAAGTCTCACTGAAACAGCTTAAAAAATGTCTGAGAAGAACCCTGCACAGAAAATGTTCTGATCACTCAAATGAAGGGAATTTTATCACCAATTCAGCAGGTGAAAGTGAGACTTGCAAGCTCAAGGAGACAGTCAGGGGAGCATTCCTCAGCCAAGGAAGGAGTGACAGGCAGCTGCCATCTGCTCCACAGGCTATTGTCATATTAAATAGTTTCTATATATAACCCAGTGCTATAAATCACTGTAGGATGCAGCAGCATAGGGAGCACACACTGAGTTGCTCATACCACTCTGAATGCTGAGCAGGTTGTGGCCTCTGGTTTCTGCTGGTCCTCAAAGTGACTGAACATCTCAGTAAAAGTGACCTGCCTCAGTGAAACACGCCAGTGAAAAGCACAGCCTGTTCCTCACCTTCTTAAATGGATACATGGCCACCTCCAGCTTCTGGGCTGCCTCTTCCCAGGAGATTTCCTGCTGCCAGGTTATCTCTTCAAACACAAACTGAATAGGCTCCCCTGAGGGATCCCTGCTGTCAATCACATTTCCATTCTCATCATAGATCACAGAGGGGATTGAGGGCCCCGTGGATTCCAGCTCCATCTGCAGAAGAGGCTCAGAGTCAGACGTTGTAGATATTCAGCTATGGGTTTTTCTGTATAGCAGGACGGGATAAAGATGCAAATTAAGACTTCACAGCTCCTAATGAAGACAGAGACCCATCTATCCTGGAGCTGCACCTGAACAACCGTAGATTTGTTTTACTGGGGAATAACAAGAAGGCAACTTCATTTCTGTCAGTTATTGTTTGCCTGTGCTATCTAGATTGGAAATGCATGAGACTTGTTCATCATGTGTTGCCATCTTCTGAGTGGAGATTATTGACTGTGGCATATCAGACCCTCAAAATGATTAGAATCTGCAGAGCTAATCTTGTTCACACGGTCAGCAAAGCCCTTATGCAGTCTGTGCCTATAGGCACAAGAAAGTGCAACAAAGAAAGCTGTTCAGGAGCTGCCCTGTAGCTCGGGCTCCTGGTACAATTGAAACTATTTTCTAAGTCTGTTTTCACTAATTTTGCTGATTAAAAATAAATATGGAATCGAGTTCAGGAGAAAATGGGACTGTTCAATTCAGGTATTCAAAATTCTGACTCATATTTCCTGTCCCAAGAACTGGGATTACCACAGAATAGAGGAATAAGCTCACGCAGTGTCTGAATCCAGACACACTGTTGTACACACAGCCCTCTGGGCTCAGAGCCTGCGTCCAGCTCCCTCACCCCTTCTGCCTGTCAGCCAGCTCTTTAAAAATAGAAAAGTTCATGTGAGTCCAGGAGGTTAAGATTCAACCCACAGGGACCAACAGGGGGGTGTACAGTCACGTTGCTGCAAAGGACATACACAGATCAACAGAGAATACATTATTATATGGAAGCATTCAACAGAAAGCTCTAACCAGCAGGGATAACTGAGGTTATGCAGCTCAGGCACACGGCAGCACAAATCCTAGCCAAGATCCAGCATGCACACAGAGGACCGAGTGTGGTTACAGACCTGAGGCAGGTAACCTATATCCACTTCCATGTTGCTGCCTTCACTCGCTCCATACAGCCACTCCATATCAACATTCAGAGACCTGCAAGGTGAACCCAGAACGTTCAGCCACCCAAGGCTAAAGCTGTGCATGGCAAATCCTGATGCTCTTCTTCAACGGCCCGCACTGAGGCTCAGAATCTGGAGGTTCTTAGAGATCACAGTGTTTCCTGCACAGGATCAGTGATGGTGGATCCCTGCTGGCTCAGGGCCCAAACACCCACCCAACATTTCAGGCAAATGCATTCATACATTTGAGTAGCATCAGACTAAAGAAGACAGAGGTATATCTGCACATCCTTCCCTGCCAGCACATAACTTGCACCTTCTGATCTCTCTGAACTTTTAAAAGTGTTTTTTTGTTTTTTTTTTTTGGAAGCAAAAGGCTTTTTGTAAGGAGTTCTGGCAGAGCTGTAAGTGTCTGCTTGCTCTGCTGAATGTGCTGACAGAGCCATAAGGACAGAGACACCAGGATTTTAGAATGTAATTTTCTCTCCTGCCATCACAGGCAAAGAGAATTGAGGCTCCCTTCCCCTAGAACACTTCCAGCTGCTTGCCAGAGAGCAGGAATGAGCTGGTGTGAAACTACACCATAAAACGAAATGACAAGCAGAAATGTTTTGAAGTGTGTGCATCAGACTCTGCTGAACTTCAGGGCTTTCAGCCAGGCACTGAGATCATCAGGGGCTGCTGCCTCTTCAGTCCCCTTCCAGCTCTCCCCATGCTCCAAGTACAAAGGGACAGTTCCTGGTGAATGAATCAGACCCTAAAATAAGTCAAGGATTCTCAGTAACTGCAGAGATGCATTTGCTGGTATTACAGGCAACTGTAAAGCTCATTTCACTCAGATTTTCCAAGGAGTTGGCTGAAAAGCATCAGCTCATCCAGCTGACACCCAAGGAGCCTTTGCAGCTTACAACAAGCATTTGACTTCTCCAAGTGTCCTGGCCAAGCAGGGGCTGCAGGGACAGGGCAGAGGATCACAGCCAGCCTGAAGCAGTGCTGATAATGAAGAGGCTGCTGTCTGTCTCTAGGGCAATATCTCTAGGAAAACTTAAACTCACCACTCCCTTGTGTCTTCCCAAGTAGCTGCATATACCTCCCTTCTGAGCTGGTGTGGCACAGTACAGCTCAGACTTGGATTCTCATTACAGTCAGGTTATACAAAGACATCAATCCCTAGCCCCATTTACACCCTGTGTCTCCTGTGATCTCTGCCCAGCTTGTCCCTCCCTCCCTCCTCAGTCCTTGTCCTTCTCTGCCTCTCCCAGGCCTGATGCTCTCCCCTCACACCTGTTGATAAGCAGAAGTATTCCTGAAAAAACTGCATCAGATCCAGTTTAGGGAACTGATAGTTTGGTTCTACCTACAGAAAACACGACAACACTAGCAGAGAAGGATGTGCAAACAAAACAGAAGCAAACAGCAAAACTATCAGGCATAGAGCTCAGACTGCAGATTTGCCTTTCCTGTACAGGCCAGGACAACCATGCACTGCAGTGCTCTGCTCAGGGCTGTCACTGCACCCATATTTTCAAATAAAAAGAGCCCACCAGCCTCCTTCCATGCACAGTCTCCACCTCTGCTTTGTACAGGACAGGATCCCAGAGTCCCTGGGCTTCATTTACCACAACCCTCAGGTCTGTTCAGCACACAAAATAAACTGCTGTACCTCTTGTTAGGGACGAAGAGCTTAAACTCTCGCACATGGGAAGAATCCTTGGAGAGGACAATGTAACCTGTGAACTGGCCTGGGGAAAACCAGAAGGGGAAGTCTGGTGGCTCGTTGAGCTGGAACTCAGCATGGATCCTGAAACGAGATGGGAGCCATCAGCTCCAGAGCTGGGAGGAAGGGATCGTGCACTGCAAACGACAGCAGAGAGAAGTGATCTGCAGGCACCAGAAAGTACAGCTGCAGGAGAGAGGCTCAGTTCAAAAAGCTTTTCATGTCACACAACAAAGAAGGTAAAACTGGAGCAGATTCCCAGGGTCAGCAGTGTCGTGGGTACTGATACCTTTTGGAAGTGGGCAATAAGTGTACACCCAGCAAGGATGAATTACATTATGAGCCCCTGAAACACAGAAACAAACTCAGACACCCTCAGTCTGCCTTCCAGTCTAATTGGGCAAGTAGCAGTTGTATTTAACAAAGACAGTAAAACAATTCTATAGAATTCTCCTTTCCCTTGGAGAAACACTCCATCCCCCCTCTTCCTCCTCAGAATTTCAGTCAAACACTGCAAAGTGTGACAGCATACTGGCTGCTGTCCTGCACCTGGGCAACACCACGCATGCTGTGACCCTGGGAGAACACAGGTGCCACCTTCAGGCCTCAGGAAAGCATCACACAGCTGCTCCCACCCAACTCCAGCCAGGGCACATCTAGTCCGGGCACAGCACTGCACACAGAGCACACGCAGAGCACAGACAAAACACAAACGGAGCACACGCAGAGCACAGACAAAACACACACAGAGCACACACAGAGCACACGCAAAGCACACGCAAAGCACACACAAAGCACACACACAGCACACACAGAGCACACACAAAGCACACGCAGAGCACACACAGAGCACACACAAAGCACACACAAAGCACACACAAAGCACACACAGAGCACACACAGAGCACACACAGAGCACACGCAGAGCACACAGAGCACACACAGAGCACAAAGCACACACAGAGCACACACAGAGCACAAAGCACACGCAGAGCACACGCAGAGCACACGCAGATCACAGACAGAGCACAGACAGAGCACAGACAGAGCATACACAAAACACACAGAGCACACACAGAGCACACGCAGAGCACACGCAGAGCACACACAAAGCACACACAGAGCACACACAGAGCACACGCAGAGCACACGCAGAGCACATGCAGAGCACACGCAGAGCACACACAAAGCACACACAAAGCACACACAGAGCACACACAGAGCACACACAGAGCACACACAGAGCACACACGGAGTACAAAGCACACACAAAGCACACACAAAGCACACACAAAGCACACACACAGCACACACACAGCACACACACAGCACACACAAAACACATGCACGCTCTCTGGCACATTGCAGCCTTCTCCACTCCCCTGAGATATGCTACAAAACACAAGTTCTCTAAAGGCTGGCCCCGTGCCCTTACCTGAATGCTATGGTGTAGTAGTAGGTGCTGATGGCTTGGATACAGGCCACGGATCCTTGGGGAGCAAAGCGGGTTTTGACGAAGGGGCGCGGGTGGAACATGCTCAGAAGCCTGTGGATGATGATCTATGGCAAGAATTGTAACAGATAAGAATGACAGCACCTTGCCTATCGCAGATAACAGGTCAGATGCAGCCCCAAAACAACCCCCCATCAGATCAGCAAGACAGGAGACTTGCTGTGACTTGAAAATTAGCTTGGAGTCCTACCTAGCCACAAAATAGAGGCTTTCTTTAAAAATAAATCCATCGCCCATGTTTTTTAAAGCTATTCCTGCTGTTCACGAGATTCCATTATCCCAACTGGGTGAATGAGCATGCTAAACTGATCCACGTATCTAATCAATACTCCTTAAGAGTGAGTAAGCAATCAATAAACACAGACTGTGAAGATGTATCAGCTATGTGATCAGGGACACCTATTGGGGCACCCACACTGGCTTTACAGCTAGACTAAGAAGTCATAAAGCAAAGTGGAGTTCCTCCAGTCAGCCTTACAAATGACAGATACCCTGAGATGTTGCCTGCTTTCAGTTTTTACTGAAATAATTCAGTTTTTACCTCTGATTTAGAAGACAATGCTCCTGGCTGTACCCTGCAGCCTTTTTGCTGCCTTGGAAAGTCCAGGGAGACAAGCAATAGCCTTGTCCATTCAATTTATCTGGGCTATAAAGCAGTACACATTCATACAAGCCACCTCTCAGATGTATGGGAATCAAATTTCGTATCTCACCTCTTTGCCTTTGGGAGGTGGAGGGTAAAACCTGTTGTTGGAAAGATATCCAGTGAAGATGTTCAATTCGCTAGGAATTATCCACCACGGATCACCAAGATCCAGTTTATTCTTCGGAGGAAGAAAGGCTTTAAACTGTCTGGCAAGCATCACACTCCTAAGGGACGCAGGAGCAGTCCAATTCCTCAGCCCAGAAAGAGCGACGTGAGAGATCTGTTAAAAGACAGCATCAGAGCCCAGCCTTCAGCCCTCACACACACAGCAATGCTGATGGATGTAACTGTGCTTAAGAGGAGAAAGAAAAAATAATAATAATCATATTTTTAATTCTTTGCACCACCCTGAACACCATCAAATAGTTCTGTCAGCTTTCAGCTACGTGAGCAAAATGGGAGGCAGTGAACAGGGCACAACATCACTGCTTGTGGTGGAGCCACCTCTGGTGTCTGCTTCAAGCTTCCCAGGAAGAGCAGAGCATTCATTCCTTGGGACACAGTGGGGCTGAATGCACTGAAAACAATACAACACTGCAGAAAGCTGCAAGCTTCCTGGTCAAAGCACACAGCTGGACAAAAACTACGTGATGGGTGAACAAGTGGCTGACAAAGGGCTCCAGGAAATGGGGTCACACCAGGCTGGTGGTCAATCATTGGTGGAGTTCCATAGGGCTCCATTTTAGGGCCAGTTCCCATTGTTTCAATCACTGACTTGGGTGCAGGACTTGAAGCTAACTGAGTGAGTCTGCGGGTGGCACTGAACTGAGAGAAGATGCTGACTGTCTGTGCTCATTCCTGGTGATGCTACCAGCCCACAGTACATGGTTACACTGGTATTTCTGGCCCTACACATCCTGCAGGATACATACTCCCAAGAAACCATCTTTGCTCTTCGTCATCGTTTCCATGACCAAAGGCTGGAATTTAGCCACAATGGACAACGTCTCCCCATTTGGATCAGGCACATCCTCTTCAAAGTCTGAGACTGGAGTAATTCCTAGACAAGGAGACAGGAATTAAAGCAGCTGTTTCCCCTTCCTCCCCTCTTAAACCATGGTGAAGTGATTATACATTTTTCCTGGCTAATCTAGGAGCACTGGGAGCTCACCAGCAGTCACTACACTGCGTGCAATGGGGAACCCACCAGAACTTGCAGCCACACCTGGCTTTTGCTACATGACTTAAAGGGGAGCCCTTCTTCCAGTAGATGACACTTTAAACTCCACGGCTGTTAAACACTCTCATCTAATCTAGAAGGGAAAAGACACGTGCTTCAGTCAATTCATTAAACATAAGCAAGCAACTCTGCATTTCAATTGTACTGTTAAGTTCTGCTGGATGTTATCATCACCCCCTGCTTGGCACCACCAAGAGACATTTGCTATGTGCTGATACAGCTCCAAACACGACCTCTCACAGCTGCTATGAGAGAGAATGCTGCAGCAAGAGAAGCATATGATTGAAATAGGATTCACTAACAGTATTGGCCTAGCCTGGGCTGAGCTGTATTTGTTGCATTTATCCATCCCAAATCTCTTATAAGCTCCAGACAAAGTAACTTACATGCTCTGCTAGGCCAGAAACGGGACCTTTAGTCTTATAAAAACGGAACTTTGTGAAAGTAGCATCTAATGCTCAAGCCTTTTCATGAGCAGTCTCTCTTCATGTAAGCAAGATCCAAAACAGCACCCAGAAAAAAAAAAAGAAGACGTCCCTAAAAATTGCTTGTGCTCAGTCTGTGCAGAGCGAGCTGTGCATGGCGGGCAGGAACGCACCTGTCAGCTTCTCAGCTATCGGCTTGAACTCTTCTGGGCTGAGGTACAGATCGTTGTTGGTGTCCAGAGAAGAAAAGAGAAACAGCCCCTCACTGCCCAAAGACTTCAGCGCCACCTCCTGCATTGGGAAGAAAGGGGAAGTGAGGATCACCCCTACCTCTCCCAGAGGCTCATTCGGAGCGCTCTCAGCCTCAGAGTTAATTCGCATTCCTTCCAGGCCACAAGCAGTGATGAAATGAACAGATTAACATCCCTTGGCAGGATTTTGCCTCCTGTGTCATGACTGGGCTAAGATTTTGGCTCCTTGCTCCACAGGTATCACTACCCACCCGTACATCAGGAACCACAACTCGACCACCTCCTCCAGACACTCCTGTAAGATCCCCGTGCCTCAGTCTCTCCCTCTGTAACACTTGGTGGGACAGCCTGCAAAGCCCACATGAAGGTGCCCCAATGGCAAACAGCAATGACATGCGTTGAAATGTGAAGTCTCACTTGAAATGGCCCCAGAAAGGCTAGATTCTGATGGACTTTTCCACTCTGCAGCATTCGTTATTGATGGAAAAACAACAACTTGCAGGCAGGGCGAGAGAGCTCCACATTGCTGTGAAGGAAAGGACAGCAAGACAGACAAGTGGCATCACTCACAGCCAGCAGATCCCACCTGGCCTCTCATTTTGGGGCAGCTTCCCCTGCCACACCAATAAACACCTAAAGGACAAATACTGTCATCTGCTGTTCAGTTGTTTATTGTTTGCTGCACCATTACCATCCCCACAGCTCCTGAACTAGTTTATTTTCCTGTCTGTTACCTGCCAGTCAGAAGCAGCAGTAATGCAGCCCAGAAGGCTGTGCTCCCATCAGCTGCAGCAACAGAAGCACTTAAGAGCCTGCCAGGGTGGTTTCAGGACTGAGCAGATAAAAAAGTAAAGATACTGGAATACAAACCAGAGATCTGGACTCAGACATGACTGAATAAAGGCAGTAGTACAGAACATGGAATGTGAAGAAGAGAGCATAGGAACTACGCAGCTGCAGATAGGAGTAAAGAAACATGAGGGTTATTTATCTACTGAGAGGAGCAACCCATTCAGGAATCCCCATGTTTCTAAAGCCAAAACCACACCTTTACTCCCCAGATGAATGGGGACAAACAAACATGGGGCTCTACATAACGTTTTCCTGAGCAGCTGCCCTGTTAGCTGAGAGCCAGGTGACAGGGTTATGTCGTGAAGTGCTGGACCAGGCTCCAGGGCTTGCTTGGGCATGGCACATCCTGCACCATCCTTACAGTGCAAAGTGCACAGGCTGTGCACAGTGGCAACCTCCTCTGCACAGGAGGCCATCCAGGCTGTGTGCTAAGCTCTAACGAGACGGGCTGCATCCTAGGCCCATCGATGATTCCCTGCTGATGAATCTTTCAGAGCCTCCCTCTTCTTTTGCACTTCACAGAGACGGACCTCAAGGGATGGAAGGCAAATGAGCAACAAAGATTTGATCTGGTGAGACCACCTGCTGCTGTAGCTTAGGAAAACGACATGATAATTTGCTTAACAGGGCTGGAGGCAGAAAGAGGATCAGTTGTGGAGGATCAGTTATGCCCCACACATGCAGAACATTTCTGAGCAGCGAAGGCAGCAGAATATGAGGAAGGGAATGTGGGTGCCAGGTGTTAAAGACATTACCGTCTATCAGTCCATAAGAATGGAGAGCATACTCCAATAACCAGAACCACGTGCTTTAAGCAAGCTGAAGAAAAGTTAAAAACTTCGTTCTGTTCACCTTTTCTCTGATCTCCAGCACTGCCCAGTCACAACCTGCCACAACACTGATTCTGTGGCCACCAACCCCTGGCTGCCTTCACAGCCCACTGGGAGCCAACAGCACCTCAGCATGGCAACCATTGCCATCACCCTGGTGACCATCTCTACCACAGTGGCCTTCTCAGCCCCACGATGGAGCCCTCAGCACTGTGATCACAGAACCACAGAATGTCAGGGATTGTAAGGGACCTCAAAAGATCATCTAGTCCAATCTCCCTGTGAGAGCAGGAGCACCTGGATCAGGTCACACAGGAATGCACCCAGATGGGTTTTGAATGTTTCCAGAGAAGGAGACCCCACAGTATCTCTGGGCATCCTGATATTAACCTTACTATGATGAAGTTTTTTTTTTCTCGTATTTATGTGGAACCTCCTATGTTCCAGCTTGCATCCCTTGTCCCATCACTGCATGTCACTGAGAAGAGCCTGCCTCCATCCTCCTGACGCCCTTTACATATTTATCAACATCAGTGAGGTCACCCCTCAGCTTCCACCAAGCTAAAGAGACCCATCTCCCTCCGCCTTTCCTCCTAAGGGAGATGCTCCACTCCCTTCATCACTATTGTGGCTCTGCGCTGGACTCTCTAAAGCAGTTCCCTGTCCTTGAACTGAAGGGCAGTGATGGACCCCTCAACCTCGTGATGGCCACCTCAGCTGTGCAAATGTTACGTCGGCACCATGATGGACCCCTCATCCCAATGATGGCCACCTCATCCCAATGATGCACCCTTCTGCCCAATGATGACCACCTCAGCGCTGTGATGGACCCCTCAGCCTTATGATGGCCACCTCAGCTGTGTGAATGTCACATCAGCACCATGAGGGACCCCTCATCCCAATGATGGCCACCTCACTGTGTGAATGCCACCTCAGCCCCACGACAGACCCTCAGTCCCATTATGGCCACTTCATACGTCCCACTCTCCCCCATCGCGGACCCCCCAGCCCCGCAGCTCGCTCACTCCAGTCCAAGCGCCCCTCAGCCCGCTTTGCTCAGCTCCCACCACAGCTGCGGGGCGGCCAACCGAAGCCTCGCTTTCCCCTCAGCCCCATCGCGGATGCGCTCCGCCCTCCATTTCCGGAGCGGCCCGACCCGCCGTCCCGTTACCTGCTGCCGGGCGGCCTCGGCGTCTCGGTAATACTTCACGGCGGCCAGCGCTGCCAAGGCGGCCAGGGCCAGCGCCAGCCGCGACGGAGCCGCGCCGGGAACCGCCATGGGCCGAGCGCTCAGCGGCGCCGCTCCGCCATGGCCGCGGCGGGAGGAGCCGGGCTGAGGGAAGGGCTCCGCCCGCAGCGCGAGGCCCCGAGGGGGTGAGAGGGAAAAACGGAACTTTGTGCTTGGCAGCTGCTGTGCTTTGTCGGGTTGCTCAGGTTGGAAAAGACCTTCCGGATGATCGGATCCAACCGCAGCCTAACCGTACGTAACCCGAACAGCGCTCCGCTAAGCCGTGTCCCAAAGCACCGCATCCAGACGGATTTTGAACGCGTCCGGGATGGTGACTCCACCGCCTCCCTGGGGCGCCCGTTCCGGTGCCCACAACCCTTTCTGTAAAGATTTTCCTGATATCCAACCTAAACCTCCCCTGGTGACACTCGAGGCCGTGTCCTGTCAGCACGAGAAGAGCCCAGCCCTGCTCCCGCTGCAATCCCCTTACAGATAGCTGAGGATACAAGCTCTGCCCTCAGCCTCCTCTTTTCCAAACTGACCCATCCCAATTTCCACAGCTGCTCATCATAAAACCTGTGCTCCTGTCCCTTTTAACAGTCAGTACAAGTTTCACTTGCTTTGCTTTCACAGGGATTGAAGGCCCATGGCCATAATGGCTCGGTCACTTTGCAGCTGCAGGACAATTCTCACCTGCAGTCTGAATGGAGCTGCTGCCATCCCTGCTCCTTGCACCTCAGTCTTCTTTGGGTCCTTCCCACCACCCTCTCACCCTTGTTATGGACATCAGTGACACCACAAACTTTGACACACTGAGTTCTTTGTGCTCCTCTGGGTGGTTGTCACATTGCTTCTTAGCACTTGATTGGCCAAGAGGTATATATTTAGTCATTTTAATCTTTTCCCTATCAGTCATCTCCTGCTCTTCCCTACATGCAGTCCTGCACTGCACTGAAATCTTCATTGCTCAGGAAGATTTAGTGCTGTGTTTTGGTGCTGCAGGGTTAGCACTGCAGGTTGGTTGAGCTCCCTAAGGGCAGCAGGAAGCAGTAGCATTTAATCTTGTGAAGCTTTTGCTGTTTCGTAAACCTTCCTAATCATTTCTGTCTAAGGAGTGTTTTGGTTAGAGAGCGAGACCGAAAGCCATGAAGAAGGCAGTGTGAGCTGCTCAAGGAAGAGGCCGGTAACCCTGAACAAAAGCCTTGAGCGTGGAGTTGTGAGAAATCCCCAGGACCAGCAAAAAAAGCAGTGCGTTTTCATAGGAACAGAGTAGTGCTGCACACAGGTTTGGACTGGGAGATAAGTGGCTGGGGAGCTGGTTGACAGCAGTCTCAGTGTGAATCTATTCTGGGGTGCATTAAACACAGCACAACCAGCCACTCAAGAGGAGATTCTCACACATTTACCATTGGTCTGGCCTCACTTAGAATACTGTGTGCTGTTCTCAATTTAAAGAGGGTTTTAAGATGCTTGCATGTGTCCAGAGGAACACAACAAAGCTGGTAAAAGGGTAGGAATGAATGTCCTATGAGAAGCATCTGAGGACAATGTGTGTGAAGCTTGCAGGAGAGGTTGAGGAATCACCTCACTGCCCTCCACAACTTTGTGAGGAAGGGAAGCATTCATCTTTCCTCCCTGTTATCAGCAGCAGGATGCATAGCATGGCACAAAGCTGTGTTAGGAGAGGTTCAGATTGGACATCAGGAATAACTTACTTACTACGAGGGTAGTTAGATACCAGAACTGACTTCATAGAGAGATGGCTGTCCACGATTAAGAGGCATTTGGAGAACGCCCTTCAACGTAATTTAACTTTGGTTCAGTTCCAGGGTAGCCTGCCAGCTGGAAGGGACCTACCAACAAAGATTATTGAGTCCAACTGAAACTATTCTATTCTAAACACAGTGCACTAGAATGCACCCAGTAACACATAAACAGAGATTATCTACCACTCCAATCAGTGCTGTTACATCTGCATGGCAGAGGGAGGGAGCAGAGGGCTCCCTATAGAAAAAAAGTGTTCACAAAACTCTATCACTGTTTTTTGCCCCATCAGTCTAAGAGCACAGCTTGGGCCATGGGGAAGAAATGGGAAGAATGGAATTAACAAAGCACTGAAATAATGGATAGGAATAGAGACGATGCTGATTGAGTTGGTCTCCAGTTAAGGAGCTGTGCTTTAAACTTTCCTTGACTCACCAGGTTGGACAGAGAGGTGTAGAGAGCTTTAGTTTACCTCAAATAACCTAGCAAGTGCTTTTAGAGCATAAACTATAACAGGATGAGACAGCTCTGAAACAGGATAAATATACCTGAGTGTCTGGGGAACGAGCAAGAGGTGACATGAAATGGCAGACCCTGCAGATGGAAAAGGAGACCTGATGGAGTGGCTGGCAGAGCCAAAATGGTATCGTGTAGATAAGAAGCAGAGAGGCTCATTTTATAGCTGAACCATTTCCAGCATCATCAGCAAGCATATAAAAAATGACAGAGTTGAATTATTTGGTAGGAAGAAGAATGAAAGACAAAAGGTGAAGTAATTCAGGGCATCTGCTGGGAACCAATTCTCCTCAAAGGAGAACAAAACCAACTTCTGGCTGTGTGCTGCTGGTTCTTGAGATCACACATTACAGTGCTGAGGAGGAATTTCAAATATTCAGACATCTGCGGCCCACCCAGACACCTTTGTTTCAAAGGAAATCCTCCTGATAGAGAAATAATGAGGAAGATTTGCATCATGAAAATTCACCCAGCAGGAAAATACTGTCCTGCATTCCTCTGCTCCCAGCAGGGAGAGTCCAGACAAAAGTAAGAAAAAAGAGCTTGGTAGAGAAATGGAAAGCTTGTATTGAGATTTTTTGGAGTAGAACAGGTTTTCCATACTCCAGAACACACAGAGCACCTCCATGTTCCAGAGTGGCATGATCTGAGAGAAACCCTGTCCTTGTTTAAATTTATGGCCTCATTCCCATAGCCTGAAACTTGGCCTGTTCTAAAGTCAAAGCGATCCTTACGTAATGGAAAGCAGCACTGAAGTCGGAGCTGTGCCCACAAATGGACAAAGTACCTGGAAACAGAACAGCCCCTGAGGCAGTGAGTGCTGGTCAGCCTGCAGCCCAAAAAATCCTTTGGAAAGCAGGAAGGAACGGGGAGCATTGAAGTCTGGCTTCACATGGGGCCTCTCAAAGGGAATAAGAATTACTGAGATGCGTTTATTGCATCTCACGGTAGATGCACTGTGACACAGAACTACACAGGCAGACGTGGGAAACACATTTCAACCTAGAAAAGGAATGGGCAGTGAAGCTGCAGTGTGAAGTTTGGTTCAGACATTTCACAAGTAGAAGAGTATGAGCCAACACCTCCCGAATTCCCATGTGCTTGCATTCCTCGCTTGCATTTTCAATCCATTCCAGCAAGTCACTCACATGGGCTCTCTAGTCAACAGCATTGACAACAGCAAAATGCATTGACAATCCTTATTGAAAGCATTCCTGATTCCATTCTAATCACCTGTCTCCATACAGAATGAAGCCACAGACCCAATGCAGTGAGAAGTAACAGCTGGAACTTTGTAACTGCCAGCTCTGGTAGCTGGAGCTCAATGCATCACACATGAAACAATCAGATATGCATTTATTTTCTGGTTTGCTTTGTCTTATTCCTCTGTACAGTCAATTGGCAACAGCCAGCTGTTCTACCAGTTACTAGTTTTCATCTCCAGCACGTGATGGAGCTTTTATCAGAACTCCATTTAAAGGAAATTCCCTACAGACATAAACCAGGATCACATTCTGATGCTGAAAGTCAACACAATCATCTCAGTTCCTGAATCTGAATGCAAGAGAGGAAATAGGAAAGAACCTGGGCTGATACATTTCCTGCTAAGGTGACTCTAAAGTACAAAACACCATGCATCAACAGCATAACTGAATCACAGAATCACAATGGTTGGAAAACACCCTTAGGATCATGCAGTCTGACCATTAACCAATCCCCACCACACTCATTAGAGCACAGCCAAATCATGCACCCAACGTGGGGCATGAAAGCAGAAGGCAGGAAAGCAGCCCAAAGACACCTATCTTCCCACATGGTTTCTGTTAGACATTTAGAGTGAGATCTCTGGTTCGTGCATAACACCCCATTAATCTACTTGAAGTATGAATATCGAGGGGTTTCCCATGTGGACAAACACAATCCTACCTAGAGGGAAGCACACGGAGTGGGTGCAGGATAAGAGCTGAAAGCCCAGAACTGAGAGTCCTGCAAGCTCAGGGCGCACCAAGGAGTGAGCAGAGAGCAGAAGCATTTCAGAACAGCACTGAGGCAAACATTTCCATTACCTGCACCGCTGTAGGGCAGAAGAATCCCAGTTGTGGCTCAGGGCCGTGCCTTAGAACAGAGCTGATCCTTGGAACCAGGCTTTATTCCTGCTAAACGCAGGCACGCTTAATGCAATGCCTGTGATTAATCCACTGACTTGAGTGACTGACTGTAAGCACGGCCAGAGGTGCCTGCAGAACTGCAGTCTGCAGGAGTGGAAATTCTAAGGATGAATTCTAAGGATGTTTGCAACAAACAGCTTTTATTTTTTTGTGTGTGACTGGTGCCAACCTCCACACGAGTGTCGTGGTAAGCAAACTTAGCCATCAGTAAGCTTTACATCAACAGGCCTGAGCTGAGGAAACTCATTGCCAATACAGCCGCTGAACTGCAATAAAGCAGCAGCTTTCCTCCCTAAGTGTGTGCGACTTTACTAATACCAACCCTGCTCACTTATGTGGAAGAGAAGAGCAGTTTTAACCCTGCACCAAGGATCTGTTCCTAAAGGAAGCCAGAAATACCCTACGGGGAGTTATGTTTTACCTAACACTGTTGTGAGAGGCTCCAAGAGCACGTGTTTTAATGTATGGAATTCCCTTGATCCATTATAAATATCATCTGGGCTCAGCTGACTTCCCAAAAATCAAATCCCACAGATAAGACAATTAATTCCCAAGATGTTTATTTACCAATAACCATTCCTCTAGGCCAAGCTTGCCAGTCCA